TTTCGTCCATGTTCGCTCGACGACTCCAAGTCTGCAAGTCGGCACCGCGGGACGATGACGTCGTAGTCTCGTCGTCGACGGTCGCTCGTTGGAAGTCGTTCCCCGCGAAGGCTCTGATACCAAGGGTTAGGCCCGACGGCCTAAGTCCGCTAAAGAATTAGCAGGGTCGACTAGGTCGAGGATGAAATGCGGCGGAAGACTTTGGCGAAAGAACTATTGGCGAAATAGGCGAAGAAGTTACTGAGTAATTGAAGAAGAGTTGAATGAGAATTGATTGATTATGGCAAGTATAAGCAAGGTTGATATAACATGCAAGATCGAATGTCGGAAAGTACTTCGTGGGACTAGGAATTGAAGGCAAGAAAAGTAGAGTGCCACGTGGCACTAGGAAATCAAGGAAGATAAGGATAAGGGTGAGTTGGAAAGTACTGTTCGGAATGAACAGTAAATCCCCCCTTAACATAGCGTGACATAAACAAGTTCACACTGAAAGGTTCATTCGACTGCCAGCGTCAGCTGTCAGTCGAATGAGCTGGCAAGCTGACCGCGGGCAAGGAAAACAATAAACCCCGCATGGAGGGCATGCCGTTCGGGAGCCAAAACCCTAAAATTTTAGGGTTGAGGCTCCCGAACGGGATGCCGTTCCGAATGGGTTTTAGTTTTTTTATGCCCGCGGTCAGCTCGCCAACCAAATTCACACACCTTCGATGTCTTCGTACCAATACTCTGCGTCGACAGGAACCAATCTCTAGAAGATTTAGAGAGAACGCCACTGCACATCAGTCAGCGACCAGCTTCGGGAGTAGATCAGCGCGTCACCTGCCTGTCATGCGTTGCGCCTTGGGGACAGTTGCCTCTCGGCGCGGCGCACCTTCCGCCAGCACAGCCTTGCGCCACGCAATGGACCAAGGGCGGGCGGCAAGTGGGCCCTCGATTCTGGATTAGAGGGTGACCATGTGAGAGCCGACCTCACTGCGGCGGATACCAGGCGAAGAGCTCTGTAGCGAACGCCGGGTTCCGTCATTTCGCTTACACGGCGAAACTTCGATTCGCTCTTTTTCAGATCGGCTGTCCCGCTTCCCCCGCCTAGCGTCTCGTGATTGCCGTTCCTTCATTGTTCCCATTTTCCCTCCGCTTTCAGTCAACCTAGATGACGTCATGAGTTCGTCGTGCTTATGTTACACCCTTGGACTCCAAGACCTTTCTAACCAAAACTGTCACAGATTTTGTCAAATCTACGCGTGCGACACCTAAGCGCTTTCGTCTAGCAGGTCGCGCCTTCGTCTTATTCCCGTCCAACCGATCCTCTTCACCATAGGTACGTCGTTTTGGAAATAAGCCGTGCATTCAAAAACTCGCATAAGACAAAGCAATCGTTTCATGGTTGTACCTTCAGATATGGTCAATATAGTTCCTTCAGTGCTCACCGAAGTTTTCTGCTCACACTAAGCTGCATAGCTAAAACACAAATTATACAAAATTATCATGCGTTTGAATTCACCTCCTCCTCCTCCTCCTCCTCCTCCTCCTCCTCCTCCTCCTCCTCCTCCTCCTCCTCCTCCTCCTCCTCCTCCTCCTCCTCCTCTGTTCTCTCTCATTCCTCGTTGTGACTGCACTGCAGCTTGTAGCAACCATGGCAGCAAGTATAGCCGACTTGACGATTCTTGAGGTGAAACTGAAGAACTGCCAGCAGAGCAGGAAGCAGGCAAACGATGGTGAGTGGACGGGCGAAGAGTGGGGTGCATTTGCTCGTATCATGAAAGGTGGTGAACAGAGGTTGAAGTTTTTTTCTCCTTTTTTTGGGGGAGGTGGGGGGGGCAGGTGGGTAGTAATCTTTTCCACCTCATGGCACTTTTAAGGGTGTTTCAACATTAAGTATTTGCTTCAAAGCTCTTCTTGTGCCTTCTGCACAAAATGCTTAGGTTCAGCAGCAAATGCTGAGAAACAATATTATCAAGTGTTGTGCGAGGACAAGCTTTGCAGGTGTCTTGATTGCGTCTTGTTGTTTTAACCCAGGCATACCACGATTGGACTCAACATCACCAAACTATCCACACCTCTTTACCCCGACAGAGTTAACTCAGGTTGTGGAACAAGCCCTGCTCCAGCTGCACAGCCAGTCAACTGAAATTGGGCTGCTGCGTGACACATTGGCTGCCCTGCGTGCAGTAAATATCGAGCTGGTCACCCGGTTGAAGGGGTTTCAGCTCGTGGAAGCTAGGCTGAGTGAGCATGAGCAACTGGAGAGAAGGGTTAGAGCGTGTGAGATGCTGGAGGAGATTAGGTGCAAAGAGTATGAGAAACTGGAGAATAGGGTCAGGGATTATGAGAAACTGGAGATTAGGGTCAGGGATTATGAGAAACTGGAGATTAGGGTTAAGGAATATGAGGAAATGGAGAGGAGGGTTCAGGAGTATGAGAAACTTGAGAGTAGGGTCAGGGATTATGAGAAACTGGAGATTAGGGTTAGAGAGTATGAGAATATTGAGAGGAAGGTTCATGAGTATGAGAAACTTGAGAGTAAGAGTCGACGACAGCATGAGAAACTGGAGGCATGGAGGAAAGAATCGGACCACTGGGAAGCGAAAATGAGGATGTGGAAGGATAAAGCTGAGAAACTCGAAGCAGAGGCGGAAGAATCAGCCAGCTACTGGAGAGCTAGAGTGAGAGAGTTGAAACGCGAGGTAGAGTATCTGGAAAAAAAGATTCAGGAAGCTGCGCCTTTGGAGATGCTGATCAAGAATCTGAAGAAAGACCTGGAAGAGGTAGGGTTCAGTGCGCATGCATATGCGCAAGCTCATGCACACATGTGCAAATGTGTGGGAGTGCAACAATTGTGTGAGCGTGCAGATGTGTGAGCGTGCAGATGTGTGAACGTGCAGATGCGCGTGAATGTGCAGATGTCATGTGTGAGCGTTTTTTTTGTGCGAGCATGTTTATTACATGTTTATATCTTCCTATCTCTCGTAAGTTTTATTTCTGATGTCGTTTTTCATCCTAAAGCAAGCAGCCACTTACAAGGAATCCAATTTGGTGTGTTCCCACCTTGGCAGGTGTCACAGCAGCGCAACAGGCTGCACCAGCAGCTGAGGAACACCCAGGAGCACAGGGGGAAGCTGCGGCAACAAATGATGGAAGCCCGAGATATGTCTCTTCAGGCAAGTGCAGAAAGTCACAAATCAACCTTCCTGCCCCCATGGTTAGTGATTCTTGCTGTTGCTTCTGTCTGCAATAATGCAAGTCAATGTCCTGACTGCATTCACTGTACTCTTGTGCCTTTAGGGTGTGTTGAAGGTGGGGGGGGGAGTAGGGGTGGGGGGAGGCGTGGGGGAGGGGTGGTTGGGGGAAGTAGAGTGCCTCTGGTAGCAGAGTGCCTCTGGTTGGAGAGTTATATTCATGTCTATCTGTTTTCCCGCATATTCTGCAGGTTCTCTGCGACTGCGTGAGAGAACTCAACCAACTGCCTCCAGTGGGAACTACGCAGCTCATAAGCGCAATCAACACTCACATTCAGCCGGTGGTGGAGCAGGAAGGGGAGGACTTGGTGGAAGTCGATTCTGAGCCCAAGCTGAAGGAAAATATGAAACTGCTTGTTGAGACCATCAGGACACTGCTGGCTGCAGCTCCTCGGTTAACGAGTCTGCATTTGCCCGATTGATCATTTCCAACCGCGCCTTGTGATGTTAGGAGTCACCCTACTCTACACTACAGATACAACTTTATGATAGGATATCTTTTTGTGTGTTTTATCATGATGCTGTTTCCAATGCAAAAGCTATGTACACCAAGTGAAAAAATTGGTGAGGTGCATGCAGGGATGCATGTCAGATACATCTGCCTACACTATCACATCCAATAGCACCACACATTTTTCTCTGTCCTCATGGCACAAAAAACATGAGATCTTAACATTGTTCATTCCTAAACGAATAAAAACTGTACACACGACGTATCATACAAGTGAATGCGAATGCGCTATACTGCAGCACACCTTACAGAGCCCAGCCTCGAGAGAACATCAACGGCTTGCTCGACACGACAGGCTCAATCCAGATCAGCGTGAATGAGGCGAATTCATTCTCCAACCAAATTCACACAGCTTGGATGTCTGCGTTCCAGTACTCCCTGAGCGCCCAAGAACAACTCCCTAGAAGGTTTGAATAACGCCGCTGCTTATCAGTCAGGGACCAACTGTGGGTGTAGATCAGCGCGTAAGCTGCCATGCGTTGCGCCTTGGGGACAGTTGCGTCGCGGCGCACCTTCCGCCATCCCCGCACATCCTTGCGCCACAGGCCCAAGGGGTGGCGGCTTTCCAGCCCTAGATTTTGGGTTAGAGGGTGATCATGTGAGAGCCGAAACTCCCTGCAGCGGGTACCAGGCGAAGAGCTCTGTAGCGAAACTTCGATTCGCTCTTTTTCTGGCTGTCCCGCTTCCCCCGCCTAGCGTTTCGAGATTGCCGTTCCGTGATTGTTCCCATTTTCCCTCCGTTTTCAGTCAACCTAGATGACGTCATGAGTTCGTCGTGCTTCTGTTACCGCAAGATCGCGACAATCGGTTCTAAGACCTTTCTGTCCAGATATTCAATCGGTTTTTCGCGAGCGCCACGTAAACGGTTTCGTATAGCAACGTCGCGCCTTTGTCTTATTCGCGTCCGACCGATCCACTTTACCATAGGTACGTCGTTTCGACGATGATTTATGCAATTGAACTACTAGCATAAGACAAAGCAAAGTTTTCATGGTTGTACCTTCAGATATGGACATATCAATTTCTATAGTGCTCGCTGAAGCTCTCTGCTGAGACAAGGCTGCATAGCTGTAAATGCACATCAGCACAAGATCAACCTTCTTTGAAACCTCCTCCTCCTCCTCCTCCTCCTCCTCCTCCTCCTCCTCCTCCTCCTCCTCCTCCTCCTCCTCCTCCTCCTCCTCCTCCTCCTCTCTCTCTCTAACTCACTCTCACTCTCACTCTCACTCGAACACTCTTCTTCTCGACTGTAGCTTGAAACAGCGATGGCAGAAAGCAGCAAAGGCTTGGCCGTTCTGGAGGAGATAGTGTTGAAGCGTCAGCAGAGCAGGAAGCGGGAAGATGATGGTGAGTGAGGGGAATGATGGGTAGAGGGATGGTGTGAAAGTGATGCTCCTTATTTCTGTGAACAAGTGCGACCAGAGATCAAGTGATGAAGTCATTAGTTATCAGTTAAGTAGGAATCAGGCAGATGAAGGTGAGCCAGCAGAAGAGAGGGGTATGGGAACACGTTGGATGGTTCGAGAGTGCGAGTGTAAAGAAAAGTACGTGGAGAAAAATAACGCAAACAACAAGAATATATTTTTGGTGGCAACTTCTCTTGCCTTTGTTTCTGCTTCTCTCGCTTTCCATCAACTTCTGCCCTCCTCTCTTGTATGGTTTCCCTGAATGAGTGCGTTGGCAGTGCCGCCAAAAAACGGATATAGCTTGCATATCATTTCTGCGTCTCCATCCTCACCCGTTCCATTCAGATTTCAATCACCTGCTCGATGAGTTCCGGCTGCAGCTAAGCAACCAGTGTTCTGAAAACAAAGTGCTGCATGAGACAGTGCTTGCTTTGCGAGAGGAGAAAGGGAAGTTGGAGGCCCGGGTTGAAGGGTTTGTACTGATGGAAGTCACACTCAAGGAGCGAGAGAAAGAGGTTGAGTTGCTACAAGCGAGAGCAGAAGAGGCTGCGAAGTCAAAGGAGAGGGTTATTGAATGTGAGCGCTTACTGGCGGATCGGGCGAACGAAATAGAAACGTTGAAAGCCAAAGTGAAAGAGGATGCAGAGATTTCTCAGCGGCACAAGGCAGAAATGGACGGCCAGGAAGGAAGGGTGAGTTTGGGTCAAAAGGAGATTGAGAAACTGCACGCGAGGGTAAAGGAGCTAGAGGAGGAGCTGGAGTGGGAGGAGCAGGAGGAGGGAGAGTTGGAGGAGCAGGAGGGGGGAGAGTTGGAGGAGCAGGAGGGAGATTGGGAGGCGGAGAGGGAAGTGATAGACTTGACGGAATTGGAAGAGGTAAGTCCGGAGGACGGGGGTAACGGGATGGTGGCAGGCGCGTGTATGTATGAGTGCATGCAAGTGTGTGTCTGTGTGGGTGTGCTCGCGTGCCCTCGATCGTGAGCATGGACACACATCTTCTGCCTACTGTTTTGACACACAAACGCTAGCCGAGCAATCCCCACCCTCCCTTTCCGTTTTGTAGAGGCCAATTCCTGGTTTGCCGCCCTTAATCTCCTTAAAGCAAAGACTGGTTTAGGTACTCGCTTTTATGCTGGAATGTTCTTGGCAGATGACGGAGCAGCGCAACGGGCTGCGTCAGCAGCTGCGGAACACTCAGGAGCATAAAGCGAGGCTGCAGCAGGAACTGATGGAATCCGGAGATAGCGCCCTGAAGGTGAGCAGATAGTGACCCTTTCTCGCGCTCATGATCTCGCTAAGATGCCACATGCCTGTTTTTCCTGTTTTGAACGAAGTGTGTCAGCTTAAAACATGTGTCTATTTTGAACCATTACGTTTCTATTTTGATGTGTGTCTTCTCTGGTCAATGTGTGTCTATCTTGAACAAGGTCGGTCTGCTTTGAAGAATACCATTCCATGCCTTGCATGCCTTTACCCACAGGCATTACGTGACTGCGTGGGAGCTCTCAGCAAAGTACGTGCAAAGGAAGTACCGCAACTACTAAGTGCCATAAAGAAACACATCCAGCCAGTGGTGGAGCAGGAGGAGGAGGACCTGGTGGAACTTAACCCAGAGCCCAAGCTAGGGGAGAGCATGAAGCTGCTGGTCAGGACAATCCATGCGCTGCTTGCTGTAGCTACCAACGCCTGAGGCCCGTGCAAAGCATCCTTGGCATGGGGATGTTTTCTGGTTGATGCAGCGGAAAACGTGGTGTAAGGTATTTTCTTGTTTGAGGCATGGAAACCTTTGATCTAGCCTGTGATGAGCAGGGCAGGGCATGGTGCTACTAGCCAAGCCACTCAGCCAGCACTGCCAGCTGCAGTTGCCAGGATGTGATGGTTGCATCGTGACCTCCTCCAGACCACTCCATGTCTTCCTTCAATGCCTCTTGTTGTGAAGCATGAAATACTTGCTGGGCACCTCTTCCATTAGGTTGTACTGTACACTACTGGAAAGTGTAATTATGCTGGTATGGTTGGCCGCATACAGCTCAGGACTTGCAGAAGTAGAAAAACATTCAGACAAGAAGGGAAAACAACCCCTATGCTCTGGGTTGCTGTCCCTAGATTAAATTTATTAGTGCCAAAAATCCTTTCAGCAACTCTACTCAGTGGTCATAGTGGAGATAAAAGCCGGATGTGGAGGTGAGGGGTATCGATCCCCTTACCTATCGCATGCGAAGCGATCGCTCTACCATGTGAGCTACACCCCCATGTTTGCCGAAGTAAACATTTTTCGTAGAATTATCTGAAGCACATCAACAAATAGCCCCCCTGCTCCTCCTCCAGCAGATTTTGTTTTTTCTTACAGCTCCTCCTGCACCTGACCGGGAAAGAATCTCCCTCGTCACGATCTGTAGCAGGAACCCGTTCCTCTGGTCCATTTGCCCACACCAGCAAAACCAGCTTCATTTGAAGCACCTCCACTCCACCACTCCACCCCCTTCCCTCCCTCCACTACCCCTTGCCCCTGCATCGACACAATCCTCTATTCACTATCTGCAGCAGAAACACGTTCCACGAGTCTATCGGCCCTGGCAAGCACCACCCGCTTCTGTTGACCAGGGCCCAAAATATCAGGGTAAAACGCCCTGATTACCCTGGGGGCCGGCCACTTTTTCAGGATTACCCTGCCAAAATCAGGATTGCACAATAGTTACCCTTCTCTTAAAAGAGCATGTTTTATTTTACCCTGATAGGTTTTTAGGTTACCCTGCCGTAATCAGGGTTTGGTGTACACTACCCTTTTACCGAAACTTTTCTAACGCGAAACAGACCATAGTCCGCGTGGTGACAAAACGTACAACACCCCCCTTAACACCCGTTGTCGCTTGTGACCACGCGCAGGTCTGCCAACACATTCTTGAATCTCGCCATTGTCAACACGTTGAGGCGAAGGTTTGACCCCAACAGAGCTTCGCAGACCCAATTGTAGAAGATGTAGGCAGTGGGGGTGGCATCGGGGAGGTGTGTTGTGCAGTGCATGTGTTGCTTGTGTATACTTCATGGACTCTGAATGTGCTACTTGTTTATGCCAATAAATATAACTTAACTCTCAAAACAGAAACATAAACAGGCATAGCCTAAAACTACCCTGCTCAAATCAGGCTAGTGGTTGATTTACCCTGCTGCAAACAGGGTACGGAAATTTTTACCCTAGGGGTCTGGTTCAGGAGGGGCTGGAACCCTGATTTGTAAGGGTAGGCCCAAACCAATTTTGGGCCCTGCTGTTGACACACTCCCATTACTCCACGCTTTCCCTCCCTCCACTACCCACCCTGCCCCTGAATCGAGGCGAACCCCCGCTTCACAATCTGCAGCAGAAACACGTTCCACGAGTCAATCGGCCCGGGCAAGCACCAGTGCAGGCAGTCCTGGGGAGGAGGGAACTTGGAATCCTTGTACTTGGCCAGCTCTTCCGCTGCATTCAACCCTCTATATGGCCCTGGGTGCCCATCCACCCTCATGCCTGCACTCGGCATCACATCCATGAGGGTGAATCGTAACGGGTCTACACTCGCGCCTGCTTCAATAGCGGCCTCTATAACCTCGTTATAGGCTTCCAGCTGCTTCGTGTATAGGTTAAGCCCGAATGTGTTGCTGTAGGTGTAGTTGCCGCCTCTAGGTTCGGTAAGGCCTGCGCACGAACCTCCTGTGTTCCACTCGCCCTTCTCGTAGTGGTCCGGGGAGAAGGTTCGGTAAATAAACACTCGGTTCGGATTCTTCCCAAGCTCATTCACCACGTCCCGAAACACGGTCCGAATCGCAATCGCGAACGCGCCCTTGTTGTCGACTTTCGCCGGCTCATCCCGCTTCCACCACCCCCCTTGCGACCCAATCACCTCCCCTTTCTCCATGTAAATCGAAGGCTTCACGAACCAATGCGCCGAACTGAACATGACAACGTCGAACCTGCCGATCTCGCCGAACCACTTGGGGCTGGTTCGGTCGAGGTGCAGGCGAGGTATGGAGTCGGGGCAGTCAGGTACGGTGTCGTTGCCTTCCTCTACAAGCCACGCGGAGTTGACTCTAGCGAGTGTGACTTTAGAGGAGCGGAATACAAGGCGAAGCATGGACTTGCCGCCGTGAAACTCGGGCTTCTCCACCTGGCAGGCAGGCAGCGCAAGTGAAAGAGAGGAAGATGGGGGGGATGAAGGTGAGAGAAACCCAAGCAGTTCCTAAGAACAAGTCCGTCGACTGGACGTTATTCATTACCGCCTCATGTCGCCCCATACCCTGCACTGCATAACCCTCCTCGTCCACATCACCCACATTACCCCATACCGCACACAACCCTCCTGAACCTCCCAACTTTCATGACAAGGTGCACCCCAACACGGACCCAGCCCCTCCCCTCACCTGACTTCAACGGCACACGAGCAACCCGATATGGTTCTTTGCAATGCTCTCCCCTCTACAATGGATAACCGTCATAACCCTCAGAACCGACTCGAACTCCCCCACATCCCACCCACCCCTCCGCTCACCTGACTTAAAAGGCACACAAGCGACTCAAAATGGTTCCTCGCCACGCTGTCCCCCACAAAGAGCACCCCTCTACCGCGCATAACCCTCATGAACTCCTCTGCATCGAAGCGCGGCAGCGCACACGCCGCCCCCTCGGGCCGCCACTGCCAGCGCTCGTAGCGGCTGTCCGGGCGCCCGTTGCCCTGGCAGTTCTGGTGGCGAGTAATGTTGGGACACGTGGCGTTGGTGTAGAGAGGAGGACTGGTGCCCGGGACCCACGAGCCACGGTAGAGGTCGCAGGCGAGAGGCACTGGGTTACGAGAAAGGACAGGGGGAGGAGGGTCGCAATGAGAAGTGTGGGGTAAGATGAAGCGCTTAAAAGTGGTGTCAGGACACGTGGCGTTGGTGTAGAGAGGAGGGCTCGTGTCCGAGACCCATGACCCACGGTCGCAGGTGAGAGGCACTGCAATGGAAAAGGGGGGAGGGGAGTGGGGAGGGGGAAGAGGGGCGGGTGGAATAGGGGCGGGTGAAATAGGGGCGGGTGGAATAGGGGCGACAGGGAAGGTGTGGCATGGTGAGACACTTGGAAGCGAAGTTGGGACAAGTGGTGTTGGTGTAGAGAGGACGGCAGGGTCGGGGACCCAGGAACCACCGTATGGGTCGCGGGTGAGAGGGACTGTGTTGGGAAAGAGTGCGAGGGGGAGTGAGAAGTGTTGGGAAAGAGTGCGAGGGGGAGTGAGAAGTGTTGGGAAAGAGTGCGAGGGGGAGTGAGAAGTGTTGGGAAAGAGTGCGAGGGGGAGTGAGAAGTGTTGGGAAAGAGTGCGAGGGGGAGTGAGAAGTGTTGGGAAAGAGTGCGAGGGGGAGTGAGAAGTGTTGGGAAAGAGTGCGAGGGGGAGTGAGAAGTGTTGGGAAAGAGTGCGAGGGGGAGTGAGAAGTGTTGGGAAAGAGTGCGAGGGGGAGTGAGAAGTGTTGGGAAAGAGTGCGAGGGGGAGTGAGAAGTGTTGGGAAAGAGTGCGAGGGGGAGTGAGAAGTGTTGGGAAAGAGTGCGAGGGGGAGTGAGAAGTGTTGGGAAAGAGTGCGAGGGGGAGTGAGAAGTGTTGGGAAAGAGTGCGAGGGGGAGTGAGAAGTGTTGGGAAAGAGTGCGAGGGGGAGTGAGAAGTGTTGGGAAAGAGTGCGAGGGGGAGTGAGAAGTGTTGGGAAAGAGTGCGAGGGGGAGTGAGAAGTGTTGGGAAAGAGTGCGAGGGGGAGTGAGAAGTGTTGGGACATGTATTGTTGGTGTAGAGAAGACGGCTGGGGGCCGGGACCCTATGAGCCCCGGTAGAGGTAGCAGGCGAGAGGCACAGCGTTGGGGGAACAGGAAGGAGGGGGCACAAAGGGAAGGCGTGGAACAGTAAGGAACTCTGCAGGTGCTTTGAAGCAATGTTGGAACATGCTGTTCATCATGTGTCGTCTCCTTTCTATCGTGTGTGACACTTAGCAATAATATGGGCGTAATATGGGCGTAATATGGGCGTAATATGGGCGTAATATGGGCGTAATATGGGCGTAATATGGGCGTAATATGGGCGTAATATGGGCGTAATATGGGCGTAATATGGGCGTAATATGGGCGTAATATGGGCGTAATATGGGCGTAATATGGGCGTAATATGGGCGTAATATGGGCGTAATATGGGCGTAATATGGGCGTAATATGGGCGTAATATGGGCGTAATATGGGCGTAATATGGGCGTAATATGGGCGTAATATGGGCGTAATATGGGCGTAATATGGGCGTAATATGGGCGTAATATGGGCGTAATATGGGCGTAATATGGGCGTAATATGGGCGTAATATGGGCGTAATATGGGCGTAATATGGGCGTAATATGGGCGTAATATGGGCGTAATATGGGCGTAATATGGGCGTAATATGGGCGTAATATGGGCGTAATATGGGCGTAATATGGGCGTAATATGGGCGTAATATGGGCGTAATATGGGCGTAATATGGGCGTAATATGGGCGTAATATGGGCGTAATATGGGCGTAATATGGGCGTAATATGGGCGTAATATGGCCGTAATATGGGCGTAATATGGGCGTAATATGGGCGTAATATGGGCGTAATATGGGCGTAATATGGGCGTAATATGGGCGTAATATGGGCGTAATATGGGCGTAATATGGGCGTAATATGGGCGTAATATGGGCGTAATATGGGCGTAATATGGGCGTAATATGGGCGTAATATGGGCGTAATATGGGCGTAATATGGGCGTAATATGGGCGTAATATGGGCGTAATATGGGCGTAATATGGGCGTAATATGGGCGTAATATGGGCGTAATATGGGCGTAATATGGGCGAGTGAGCACTGGGTTGACTCAAAAGTCTCCTCGTGGTATGGGCGAGTGAGCACTGGGTTGACTCAAAAGTCTCCTCGTGGTATGGGCGAGTGAGCACATAGCGCCGTACCATCCAGTTTAATCTTCTCCTTGCGCCCTCCTCCCTTCTTCCTCGCACCAGCTGCCAGGGCAGCCCCTCCAGCAGCCCTCCCATTCCCCCCGTTAGAATCACCCCTGGCGTTCCCACTCTCAGTCCCGTTAAAATCAACCTTGGCGCCACCACTGCTGCCACTGTCGTTGCCGCTGTTGATCCCGTCCCTGCCTCCGCCTCTATTGACCCTTGCATTGCTACCCACCCCCACTCCTCCCGCGTCCGCTCCTCCTGCACTCCCCTTTCGACCGCCCGCCTCTCTTATGTTCCCGTCACCTGGTCTCTCCTCCCCCCCACCCTCCCCACTCTCCTTCTCTCCTCCCTCTCCCCCCTCCTCGCCCCCGCTACTATCACTCAGGCCTTCATTCATCATCTCTTCACACCCAACCAACAAGTCCTCTCCTTCTTGCCCTCCCTCCTCCTCTCCCCCTTTTTCTCCCTCCCCCTCTCCCCTCCCATCCCTCTCCTTCCCTCCCCCGTCCTCTCGTCCCCCTTCTCCCCCCTCCTCTCCCCTCTCATCTCTCTCCTTATCTCCCCCCTTCTCTCCCCCTTCCTCTCCCCTCTCCTCGCCCCCGCTACTATCACTCAAACCTTCATTCATCATCTCTTCACACCCAACCAACAAATCCTCTCCTTCTTGCCCTCCCCCCTCCGAACCTCCCTCCGAGCCTTCGGTCGAACCAGCCTCCAATTCCCCACCTTTCCCCGCACCTATGCTGCTCCTCTCCTCCTTCCCTCCCACTTCTCCACCCCTCGCCCCTATTCCCTCTCCCCCACCACCCGAACCACTGTCTTCCCCGCCTCTTGCGGCCTCCCCAGCAGACTCTCTCCCCTTTCCGTGTCCCACCCCTCTCTCCTTCACCCCTCCTCCGTCTACACTCCCAGCTATCCCCTCGCCCTCCGCCTCTTCCCCTCCGTCAACGCCCTCCGCCTGTCCGTCAACGGCCGTCAAACTTGCCGTCGACTCTCGCGCTTCCCCCTTCCGCGCCTCCCCCATGCCCTTGTCTGTGCTACCGCCACCACCCCTTCGCGACGACTCGAATGCTCCCTTCCGCGCTTCTCCCGCGCCCGTCTCACTGCCGCCAGGCCCCCATCGCCTGTTCACGCCCGCAATCCCCGCCGCTTCCAGAGATTCGCTCTCGTTTCCCGCTCCCCTTGCAAAGACGCTCACGCTCCATTGGTCCGCTTGGGAACCCGTTTGAGCGTCTTCCCCCCAGCCCCCTGCGATCGGCGCACGCGCGCGGAAGGAGCCCCATAGGACGACGCACGCGAGCAGCGGCAGAAGCAGGAGTGCGATGCCCAGCTGCGACTGTGCGACGGCGTGCGACGCCCAGCTGGAGAATCGCCCGGTGAGCTCTTCTTTCTTCGCCATGCCCCTGGCGAAAACGCGGCACCCTAGCGGCGAAATGATCAGGAATTTCGCAGGCGGAGCGGGACCGCCACTGGTGGATAAACCGAACAAGCCGTTCGAAATCCTTAGACCGAACCGCGGACTCGGGGCAGGTAGCTAGTGAGTGCCAAAGGTATTCCGAGACCGCACTCGAACCTGTAGAATTTGCGATATGGTTCTCAAATCTGCAGAATATCAGCGAATCATTCCATGATGGAGCCGACGAGCACGCCGCGAGCACGGTCAAGAGAAAGCAGCAGTTGAAGGTTTCCGAACCACGCGGGAAAACGCCACCAGATTCCTATCCCGCCGCGCGCGACGGCGTGTTCCGTACAGCCCGCTAGCGGCGAGCGTGCCAGCGGCGTCCCGCCCGCTTCCACGGTGCGCAAGATGCCAGCTTCGGAACCCCGCAAGGTCGCTGTAACGTCCAGGCTGGGCCGCGTCTGCTGCCTTGCCCGCGGACGGCCGCGACTCGCGGAATGCTTTCAAGGTTGAGAAGGGTCGAGGGGAAGTGAGGAACCGATTATGCGAAACGATAGAACCACCGCAGTGGGTCCCTACTCCGATAGATGGGGGTATCCAGGGCGTATGTTCCCTGTACGTTATTTGCGGTGTAGTTTGTTTTGTCTGGGTCGGCAAAACAAAGAAACCGATTTCCACCGCTTGGAAACGTTCTGAGCCGCGAAACATGACACTTCCTCAAATTGCGCAGCCAACAGACCGAAAAGCATCTGTGGGGATCCCAGGACCGCACAGACCAAGGAGACTGACACAACTGTCCCACTTCTGAAACAACCTTGGCGGGAAACGGATAAATGACCGAGACTTGGATCTCGAACGCGCCTTGGCGAACTTACCGAATACACAGCCTGTTCCGCTAACGTACACTTGATAGCCAATTTTCCCTACTTCTGTAAGGGCATTTATTTTAGCGGTAACACTCATGGAGCTCAAACGCACGCGAGGTAAGCCACGTGTCCAAATCGTAACAGAGATGTCTTCTCATCGTCACCATGGTAACCAGCATTGCCGAGATGGTCAATATTATTGCCCGAATGGTAATGAACAGTGCGTCCGGAAATCCTGGATGGTAAATTCGCGTTCCAACCAAATTATACACCGTACAAGTCAGGTTTGACTCAGCAAAAGGAAACTGACTGTCCACGTAATGCGCAATTCCGTTTATAATACCTGTTACGCATAGTGATTAATTGAAACACTACTGTACACTCCTCTCCGCAGCAACCGAAGCACGCACTACCGAGAATGAATGTGAAAGGGCGCAAGTGATGCGAAGAGTCACACGGTTACGAAAAGCATCTGGACCGTCGGGCAGACAGCATCAGGCAGCAGCAGTGGCGAGGATTCTGCCCGAACAGTTACGTAACCACTCGGAGTCGCACGGTTGGATTTCGCTGTAATAAGGAAATGTACCCCTTAGAGTACATGGCTAGCTAGGTCGTTTCGAATTCCCTTGTACTCTTATTCCTTGTACTGCATGTTTTTAATTATCTCAAGCATTTACATTCACTCCGCTATTGAGTTCAAGGGCCCACCACCACTACACTAGAAGTGTGTGAACCTTCCTGAGGTGATCCTGGTTACGATCATTTTCTGATCGCAGCATGGTATCAGAGCGACTCGGGAATCCTTCGCATTGCCATCTCCGAAATCTACGACGTTCGGAAAGTGGCGTCCGGCACACGATCGCGTGTAAGAATGGCCGGATGATCTGGAGGTCAGACGAATCTGACGGCTGAAGCGCAGCCCAACCCGGCTGCGACAAGCGAGGAAACGACGACAATCCCTTCCGTCGTCCTCGCACAACTGCTTCAGCGACTCACGAGCCTGGAGCAAGGGCTCCAAACATTGCGGAATGGCGATGCGGGAACTTCTTCCCAACCCACTCAACCGGCTTCTCTCTCAATACGAATGGCTCAGCCCCCAAGACTCCCTGTCCCAGCGATGAAGCAATTCTCTCTGCGCAATCAAGGTTTTTAAGCATATAAAAAATAAAGACAAGTGTGTGCTTTGACGGCAGAGACTTCTATACCTGGAGCTTCGAGCTGGAGCTGCTGCTGCAAAACGCGCAGATTTATCATTATTTCGACGGGAGCTACTCGGGACCTACGGAAGATACTGACGACGCAAAAACCAAGTACTACAACGAGTCCCTGATGGCGTATGGGGTTCTTCTGTGGAACATGTCGTCGACGGAGCAATTGAGCATTCGCTCATGCAAGACTTCCCCTGCTCCAGCCCTCAACGCTTGGCGCCACCCTGTTAGAGACTAAGGACGGAGTCTATGAAGCTTAGAGGCCGAAATATCACAAAATCGTTGGTCTCAATTTCTGGACAGAACTGTCGACTTCACAAGAAACGCCGTCGACGAAACACGCACCGTCAAAACTTCACCAAACTTAGATATGTTGTAGCCCCAGTCAGTGGCTACAATTCCCAATTTGAATCGTACGAAAGGTGAAGTATTTCTTGAGTTATGAATTTTGACGCACTAGGGGGTATGCTGCCATAGAATCTTAACTCAATCACAAGAGTCTCACAATTGGCACACAAGGAAGTTAGAGTGGCAATTAACCAGGTGGGAGGGGAAGAGAAGGACGAGAGTTAAGGTCCCCAAGGAGTCCCCAACCAAGGAAACCCCATAAGCACACCAAATCCCTTCCCTATAGGAACCCCACTTTGACCTTTGTCCATTTCCCAACCTCCACAATCCACCTCACCCAAGTTGGCCACACTTGCCAACCCAATTTGGTTTCTCCCAACCACTTGGCAGCATCTACAGTGATGGGGACGAATTTCCCAACCCCAAAAGTCTGTACCCCATATGAAGTCAACCTCACAACTTCCCATAGTCACCGCAATCAAACATCAAAAGCATACGAACTTCAAATGTTCGTAACTTTCTTGTTCGTGCTCCGATTGAAGCGATACTTGGCTCGACGGAAAGCTCTCGAGTAGAGAAGTCATTTCAGATATCTGCTCAAGCAAAATATCATTCACACACATTCAGAAAATCCAAACCATACCAAACACAAGTTCTTGCACACGCTCACACCACGCATGCAACGCACGAACATATGATGGGAGGCAGACAGACGTGTATGCAAATGATAGCATCACATAACAAACCCCCCCTCTGGCTGCCAACCATCATCCCACATGCCATAGCTCAATCATGCACCCTCAATGCACACTCATCCCAGCAAGCTTCATGCCCTTCCAATGCTCAGATTCAGCCAGGCGCTTGGTGAGAATGTCAGCCGCCTGTTGATGGGTCTTCACAATCTCCAGCCGCACCTCTTTGTCCAGGAGCCTCCTCACCCAGTGCCACTTGGGCCTGATGTGCTTGGTCAGCCCATGAAGACAAGCATTCTTGGCTAACTTCACTGCCGACTCATTGTCACAGAATATCACAGTCGGCTCCCCCTGACCAACTCCAATCTCCTCCAACAAACGCCTCAGCCACACCACCTCCTTTGCCCCATGATGCAGGGCCATGTACTCTGTCTCACACGAGGACTGCCCCACCTCGTTCTGCTTCTTGCTGCGCCAGCTCACTGCACCACCTCCAAACAAGCACACATAGCCTCCAATGCTGGTGCCATCTGCCTTCACAGAGTTGAAGCTAGTGTCAGTGTAGCAGGTCAAGAGCATCTCCCCCTTTCCCAAATCAGCTGCACCCCTTTGCAGCCTCTGTCGCACAGCACTGTACTCCAAGCCCACTGATGCTGTAGCGCTCACATAGCGGACCAATCTCTTGGCCGCTTCCAGCTGCTCATGACTGGGGCGAGAAACCACATTGGCAAGCCTGGATGTTGCAAAGGCTATGTCAGGCCGCGTGTGGTTGGCCGCATAGTTGAGCGCCCCAACCATGGAATGAAACAACTTCCTGTCACTCTCACCCACCACCTCCTCATCAGCACAGGGCTCCACAGTGAACCCCGAAGGTAGTGGGGTTGCTGGCTTTCCTCCATCTTGCAGCCCATACTTCTCGGCCAGCCCCTCACAGTACTTCCTCTGGTGCAACCTCAACACTCCCTTGTCAAGGTCCCTCTCCACATGCATCCCAAGGTAATACTTCACATCTCCCATCTTCGAGCACTTGAACTGCATCTCGAGCATCTCCTCCACACGCTCAATCATTGCAGACGACTCAAATCGCGAAATTGGGGAGCTCGATCTCTGAGGAGATCTTCGTGAATATCGTGCTCCAAGGGCTCGGCCCAGAATGGCGGCCCTGCAAGGCGCTTCTCCGACAGCAGGGGGTCATCTCGGAGGCCGCCCTTTGCGCCGCTCTTCTCGTGAACAAAGGGATATGGACCAGCAGCGACCAGCGCCGCGACGAGAAAAGGAGCGCCTCGCCTTCTTCGCCGACAACACAGAAGAGCGACGGCCGCGGCGCCTTTACTGCAAAATCTGCAGGAATTTCGGGCACTTGGCGGATCGATGCAAACTTCGATCTCGCCCTTGCCAGACCAATCCTAGCAACTGGTCCGGCCGACAAGACGCGAGGAACGACACGCGTCCCGCCCAGGGGTATCAACCCTCATCGCGCAGCCTGAACCCAACAGTTCAGCAGCAGCAGCAGCCATCGCAGGCCACCTCCGTCCGCAATGTCATGGGGAACATGACCATGATGAGCGGATCTCGTCGTCCGCGCGCGCGCTCACTCTCACCTGAGCCAGCGCCTGAACCAATCGAAGCGTCCTCGAACATCAATCCATTCAGCACGCGTCACGATTACAGCGACGACAACAAACAAGACTGGAATCTTCCAGTTCCGCTGCTTGAGAGCCCCCCGCACGTACCAGACATGCGGCCGGCACCGATCGATTGGATCGCGCGCGAACAATTCCTCAAGGTTGACACTCCTCACATCGTCACTCCGCGACTGGCGCTGCTCGCGCGAAACGACAACAGGCATTACAATACATGGTACCTGGACAGCTGCTGTGGGCAGC